TATCTAAGTATTGTTTTATTATACGACAAAATAAAAAAATACGTGTCTAATATTTTTTCATCACCTACCTGACGGACTAATTAGATTTTTAATTTTCATACCTTCATCATCCCAATTGCTAAATAGTTAGGTACCTACTTACTTAGTGCTAATAGGAAAATATTTGAAAGATGACCCGTTTGAAAGGAAATGTTTCGATAACGTAACCGTAATCAAATTATACCTACATATTTATATTTTAAATACTTTTTATCACTATAATTGGGTACTTTCCTTAATGAAAAATAAATTATTTCGACTGTTCAATACAATAAATATTAGTAGGCTGCGCGATATCACTTGAACTTGATTTGCATATTTATAAATATATTCTTTCTTTCATCGATTCGTGTAAATAAATTGTAAGAACGACTTTTGCAATATGACGTGGATAGAACAGGTCTGTTGCGCATGCGCGTTAAACAGTTTCAACTCTCAAGTGCGTCACTTTCAACAGCATCAACTCTTAAAGCAGAGGTTCCCAACCTCTTCCAGACCATTCGACCTTTTGTATCATTCTAATAAGAGTTTTTAAAGGGTGGGATCATCTGATTACTTTTCCCGCCTCGGGTAGGGCGAGGAGTGTCAGACTCTTACTGACTAAAACCCTCCCTGTTCTTACTCTTGCTTCGAGCTGGTTTTTCATTCTTTTACAGTAAGTCTGCAGTCATTCTCATCAAAATAATGAATTTTAGATTATAGAAATCAGTTGTCTCCTTTAACATAAGCTTATTTCGAGCTGTAACCATGGATACTGAACAGCTGTAGCCAAATGCCATTTAACGCTTGTCTACATGTAGAATAGAAAACCAAATTATATGGAATTGACGTCAATTTTGACACTTGTCAGTGTCATCCCCATACATTTTTATGTCTACTCTCTCTGTAGACAAGCGCTAAAGTGGCGTTTGGCTAAAGGCTCAGGTGTGGTCTTGTGTTTTGTTTTTTTGTTTTTCATTTCGTGGACCTTCATTTGTATTCTGTAGAAAGAAGGTGGTCTGCGGACCACAGGTTGAGAATCACTGTCTTAAAACAAACACCGTTGACGGTAAAATACAACCTTTTTTAGCTCAACAACGATTTTAACTTGCGGACATTGAAATGAAAGGGTCTATAAGACTTTTTTTTTTTTTAAGGGGGGAAAATCATCGAATGACTGCTCCCGCCTGGGTGAGGCGGGAGGGAGTGTCAGACTCTTACTGACTAAAAACCACCCCGTTCCTTCTCCTGCACGTCGAGCCGGAGCCCCGGTTACCCGTTAGGTTCTCCGCGACTCCGAATCGGCATCGGCCGTATTGGGCCCCATCTGTGGTGGTCTGATGGCTCTTTGAGGCGCGAGCGGAACGCGACGCGCCGTACGCTCGGGTCTGTTTCTGGTCGGACGGGGAGCCACCCATGCTCGCCGTCCGCAGGCCCGCGCTTACGGTGGCCGGAGATCGTCTCGCGATCCCCGACGCCCGGTGTGTCCTTCGCGATGGCTGGGTTGCGAGGAGGCAGCGCTTCGCTGCCTCACGCGTCCCGCCTCCTCCTTAGCTAGCATAACTGCTTCGCAAAAGGAGGAGACGGCATCCCAGTCCCCCTCGCTCCGCATCATGGCCTGCACTAGGCCCGGACGCGAGAGGCCGCCATCGCCGAGTCTATAAGACTTACATCGACGTCATAGTCTCCTAAGGAAAAGATAAACACCGTTATACTTCTAACGTCAAAAGGAAATTCGTAATAAAATTGGCTTTCCGTCCGCAACTTCGCCCACTGCTATGAATCCTTTTACAAATTTCATTTAAAACCTCTTTTTGGTACACAAATATACGCAAGACACAATGTGTTATCTATTATGTCTCATATTTATAAGCGTAAAAATCCATGCAGTAGTTTTTTATTAAGAGAGGGACAAATAAAATGGCGATTATTTAAGTATAATATGTAAGAAGATTTTCTTAAATTCAATTATGACTACTCTCATTTTTTTAATTTCATAGCTGGATGTTATAAAATATAAAGGGGGAATTTTTTACTGCACTAGAAATTTATGCAAACCAAATTTCTTCACTAATAACCTACTGCATATCAAAAAATGAACCGTAAAACGAAAATACTGATTTGCACACTAATTGTTCTATATGAGGTTAGGTTAGGTTTGTTTTTTTTTTCACGACCTTTAAATTATGGGTTACGTTAGGTTAGGTTAATACATATTTTGTTGCATCTCGAAGAATTATTAGATTTACTTTCAGTTAGGATAGTCATTCAGTAAAACAGTTAAGCTTTAAAGATCTAACAGTATAGTACAATTGATTTATTTGATGGACAAATTTAGTGTGCAATTCAGTATTTTTGGTTATAATTTCGAATATTTTGATTGAAAAAAGGGAATTTATAGTTAAAGTATTAAATACCACCCAAAGCAAAACAGTAACATGACTACTAAGTAGAAAACATTTGCAAACCCGACTAAGGGACTACACGTTAGACAGAGACCGGGCAGCGATAAACCTGAACCTTTTAACCAGCGATCTCTAACAACTTGCAAAGCTTTAATAATCTAACAATCCCTTCTTCGTAGAGGAGGTTTATAGTCAGCAGCAGCGCTCTCTGATAAACCTGAACCATTTAAACTATTCTGTATGGAGATCCCTTGTATGTAGAGGAGTCCGCAATCCAGTAGTGGAATGTTCATAATATATTGATAATATTGATATTGATCTTATACGTATAGATTAAAAGACATAAATTATTCGACCATTGACCTAGTCGTCCCGCAAACGTAACTGTTGCACTTGACGACCCGGATTCAATGTTTAAATCCGTTATTTTTATATTACATAACATAACATTTGTTTTAACTTTAAAAACTTTATAGGACGACGTCCTCCATCGTAGACCGCATCATCGCTTACCTACCAGGCGAGATAGTGGGCAAAGGTCGGCACATCTAATATAAAAAAGTAGACACAGGTTAAGATAAACATAACATAACATCACGCCTTTTATCTCCGAAGGGGTAGACAGAGGTGAACATTTTGCCACTGTACAATGTAACACCCACTTTTCACCATTGACTGCCTCGTTGGCCGAGTGGTCGCAGGTGCGACTGCCGGGCAAGGGGTCTCGGGGTCGATTCCCGGGTCGGGCAAAATATTAGTACCCGGTATATGGCAATAGACTCACCCCCTATTACATAGGACTCGTGGCATGAATGGTGAAAAGTGGGTTAAGATAAACGTAATTGAAGATAATATCGAATGCTACGGTATCCGCTTCTTGTAATGGAAGATTGTTAAATTAGATTGTATTTTATTATGGGATAAGCCGGGAAACAAGCAGACGGATCACCTGATGGTAAGCAATCAGCGTCGCCCATGGATACCTTGAACACCAGTGGCGTTACAAGTGCGTAACCGGCCTTTTGGGGATTACGAATTAGAGGATTGTTGGGGACTCAAGGATTGGGGAAGGGAGGGGGGGTTGTAATTGTGCCTCCGGTAACCTCAGTCACACGACAAAACACAACGCAATATTGCAAGTGTTGTTTCACGTGCGTCGGTTTTCTGTGAGTATTCCGGCCGCGACGTCTATTGAATTGACGTTGAGCGGGTTCCACGTAATAGCCAAGCCCAGCTCCACTTCAAGCCTACAGCTTTATGACCATTTTTTTTTTTTTGAGGGAGGAAAATCATCCAATGACTTCTCCCGCCCGGGTGAGGCGGGAGGGAGTGTCAGACGCTTACTGACTAAAAACCACCCCGTTCCTTCTCCTGCACTTCGAGCCGGAGCCCCGGCAACCCGTTAAGTCTTCCACGGAACGCGACGCGCCGTACGCTCGGGCCTGGTTCTGGTCGGGCGGCGAGTCACCCATGCTCGCCGTCCGCAGGCCCGTGCTTACGGTGGCCGGAGATCGTCTCGCGATCCCCGACGCCCGGAGTGTCTCTCGCGACGGCCGGGTCGTGAGGAGGTTCGTTCCCTCACGCGCTCCGCCTCCTCCTTAGCTAGCATGACTGCTTCGCAGAAGGAGGAGACGGCATCCCAGTGCCCCTCGCTCCGTACCATGGTCTGAACCAGAGCCGGAATGCTCAGTCCACGCAGGACACACCGCCACCGTATGCTCCACCGTGTCCTCCGGGCGATCCTCGCAGTGATGACGTGTTCCGTATTATGTCCGATAGTCGAACTCCTAAGATAACTCCTAAGCCAAAGTGAGTTTGTTTATGTTGAAGAAGGGGAGAATTGCTTAAGAGAACATAGGCAACGCATTCTTTAATTTATATTCTTCATAATGTAAGAGAAAGATAGAAAAATAATTTATTCCCACTAGACATGGACCACCGAAAATTAACAAACAACATAAACATTGAAAAACAAAAAATAAAGAGAAAACAATATAAAAAACATAAAATAACAAAATAAAAAAACAACAATAAAGCCAAAAAAATGTGTATTTTTTATTTTAGTTTTGATTTCAGTTTTCTTTTAATGTTATATAAAGTACTTAATTAGCTAGTAAGAATAAGAAATGAGCGCTTCTCGCCGTTAAACGATATGTTTGGCGAGGATCTATAATTATAAGAACAAAATGTTAATCCTAAAATTGTACTTTTGTTAAATAAATAAATAAAAATAGAATGACTGCACGGTTGGTGCGGTGGCTGGGCAACCGGCTGCCGTGCAACGTGTCGCGGGTTCGATTCCCGCACGGACCAACACTTTGTGTGAACCACAAATTGTTGTTTCGGGTCTGGATGTCATTGTGTATGTGAACTTGTATGTTTGTAAACGCACCCACGACACAGGAGATAATCCTAATGTGGGGCAACGTTTAAAAAAAAAAAAAAAAAAGAAAAAAAAAAGATGATGAGTCCTTTTAAAGAAATTAGCACACATAGGGACTACGGACAAACAGCGAAAAGCGACTTAATTTTTTTAACGATAAATGGTTTAATTTTCTTTTTTTCTTATTTTTCCAGATCAGTTCCATAAACAAGCACACACTATCTGGCGGCCAGGTGTTAGTGAACCAATGTCAAGTCCCAGACAACTTCTCCGAAGTGAAACAAGCCCTAGAAACGGTACAAAAGAACTCACAATACTTACAAAATGACAGAGAAACGTATTTACAAGATGTTATGGAACTTATCAAGGAAGATACGATTGTTAAAACAATCCCACAAGTCGTTGTTACGCCTGAGTACGAGTACCAACAACACACGTCCGTAGACTATGTGAAAAAACCATCTGTCACAAATTATACTGAACAGTATGCCGAAAAAACTATGCAACATAATGATTTGATGCAGTTGTTAGAGGAAAATTATGATATGTCACCACAATCTATATCGAATTCCATAGACCAATTCGGTCATGAGCAATTCACAGACATCTTCAATTACGTACAAAAAGAATACAGTCAAACTTCAAACGATGGTTTCGTTAACGCAGAATATACCTATCCTACTCCACCGCGCTCCGAAACCGTACCCAGTCCGATGTCAGCGTCTCCCGGATCATTTTACCCAACAAACTCGGAATACACACTGTCCCCGGAAAGATCGCCGATATACAACTGCGATTACGAAAAATATCAAGAGATCCCCCATTTTGAAGAAGAAAAAGAAGCCATAGATAAAAAAGCGCGGGAACGCACCGCCTCTATATCGTCTATGACAATGAAACAGTTCAAGGATATGCAAAAGGAGATCGTACATAATTTCTCCAAGAAGGACTGTTGTGAAGTTACTAGGAAACCGTGCAAAGAATTGTTTAAAGAGCATCTACAACGGATCAACCCGGCTGCGAGGAAGAATTTGTGCATGAACTTCGCTAAATTAGATCTGACAGAAGCTTACAAGTAAGTAGATTTTGTTAATTTTTCAATATGTCATTCATTTACTGGCAGAATAGTTCACTACTAAATAGTGAAAAATCGGTTTCGTTCCCATCGATTTGCCGGTTCGATCTTGAAATGCGATAAATTATCTAGTAATAATCGTGAGCTACCATTTTTACTCACTAGGTGGAGCTAGTGTCAACCTCTCGTTTTTCGTTCAATAGGGCATTAACTAGTGTCACACTGTTCTTCATCCATTATTTGACAGAACACTGTTGCAGGCGGGCCGTGTGCATTTCTGCCAGTCGGTATAAAAAAATAATATGACTAGTAAAACAAGCAAAATCTGAACAAATAGAATGAAATAACATCATAATATATTGTTGTAGTTAACTTGAAAAAACAATATTCGCTATATTTTCCTTAACTTAATTGCGTCAATATAATATATAGATACATATAAAACATATATAGTTGTTTTATGAGGAAAATTAAAACATAGTCGAACTGATTCACGCAACTTCTAGCATGATCTGTGCTATGGCCAAATGCCATTTTAAATCCAGTCCACCGATAGCGGTAGAAAACTAAATGCCCATGCATTTATTATTTTAATCTAAATATTGTATAATAGCTTCTGCCCACGACTTCGTACGCGCAATCCCGATTTCTCCAATTCCGTAGGATATTCAAGATCATAAGAACCTTCTCTTAATAATTTATTTATTTATTCTTTTATGTACACAATTTTATTATGGCACATAAGGCGAACTTAATGCCATATGTCATTCTCTACCAGTCAACCTTAGGGTTTAAGTAGAAAATCAAAAATAAGGTACGGAGAATAAACTAACAGCAATAAGAGTGAGAGAGAAAAAAAATATTAAATAATATAGCTATAATAATATATATAGTCATATGCATAAAATATATAGGTATAAATACATACATAAATATATATCGACGAAAGCCTAAACCATGCTTTGCAGCGATTTTAAATAAAATTCGTGAACTTGAAGTTTAGAGATTTTATTAGGAGCTTTTTTGATATTGAGGGGGAGCGCGTTCCAAAGTTTGATGACAGTTATTGTAAAGGAATTAGAAATGAAAGAGGTGCGGTGGGAAGGTATTTCAAGAAGCAAGTTGTCCGTCGAGCGGAGGAATAATAACAAATACAACAAAAAAGAATTAGTATAATCGGTCTAGCCGTTCTCAAGTTATGGCGTGACAACGGGAAACGGGTTGCATTTTTATATATATAGATATATAGAAGCATACAAGCGACAAGATTATTTAGACACCACTTGCAAACGGTGAAGTAAAATCATCAAAATCATCGTGAGGCAACCTGGGCTTGTATTATCTAATTATAAGTTTGAAATCGCCAACCTGCATTGAGCAAGCGTGGTGATTGATGCTCAAACCTTCTGCGTGTTAGAAGAGCCTTTGCTCAGCAGCGGATGTGTTATTCCAGACAATAACCTACCTCTGTTCCAAATTTCATCGCAATCCCTTCAGCCGTTTCGTCGTGATTGAGTATTAAACATAGAGGTACAAACACAATCCTTCGCATTAATAATATTATAGTAATATGATTTTACTGACCAGTGTGAAACCCGTACATCGAGTTTATATTCCTTTATCTATCCTTACTATAATATTATAAATTGGAAAGTGAGTTTGTTTGTTCTGCTTTCACGCCGTAACTACTAAACGGATTGCTTTGAATTTTTGCAGACGTAAAGTTAGAAGTCCGGATTAAATAATAGGGTACTTTTTATCCCGAAAATATTTGATGTTCCCGAGGGAAAACAAAAGTATTGGTACCTATAGATGGCGCTGTGTGTATTGGTATATGTCACATTGGCTTTTTATCCTTTTGTGTCGCGAGCGAAGCCGCGGGTAAAAGCTAGTATATGTATATAAAAATGAAACCCGTTTCCCGTTGTCACGCCATAGCTTGAGAACGGCTAGACCGATTTGGCTGACTCTTTTTTTGTTGTGTTTTTTTTGTTCTTATGACAGAAATATTTCCTGAAAATAATACGGGAACTGGAGAAAATGGGATTGCGCGTACGAAGTCGCGGGCAGAAGCTAGTTTATAAAAAAAAACAAGCGAATAACCTTCATCTGTGCAGGGATATATAACGGTATATATTAAATGATTCACATAGCTTGAACCAAGGTCATTTAGTAAAAAAGTTGTTTATAACAAGTCAGGCTCGCCTATAAGAATTACCTCACCATTTTCCTAAAACACAACTAAAACAAGTAACACATAAAAACATCTTAACATCACGCGTATTATCCCCGAAGAGGTAGGCAGAGGACATTACGGTACTTATTGCCACTGTACAATGTATCACCCAATCACCCACTTTTCACTATTTATGTTATGAGTCCCATGTAATAGGGGTGAGCTTATTGCCATATACCGGGCACAATTGCAGACTCCGTGATACTATTGAGATTTTTTAAAAACATCAGTTATACCCGACCCGGGAATTGAACCTGAGAGCCCTAGCCCGGCAGTTGCACTTGCGACCTCGTTGACCCGATCAACGAGGCAATACTGGAAGTTCATGTAAATACTGTTCATGAAACACTAGACGTAAACTTGTAAGCACTATTCGCATCGCACGTGTCACCCGACGAGAAATACCTCTTCGAGAATCACATGGCGTGATGTTTTGATAATGTACTGTAATGAGTTCGTATGCGCTTTCGTAGTCGCTTGCTTTTTGCAATAGTTCACCAGTTATTTTTTATTTTAAACATTTTATTTCTTTGTAAGACTATTGTATTATGGGGCCATAGTAGTAGAGGGCGCCCTAGACGGACATAATTATAGTGACCAGATTGACGATATATTAAAGAAGGGCCAAATTAAAAGTACCCTTAACCGACGAGCATGCATGAAAAGACTGATTACTGTTGATGAACCGAAAGAGGTATTTAGGAATTGTAGTAATTGGCGTCCCCTAGTCTCTGCCTACCACCATGAGAGACAGGCGTGAAGTTATGTATGTATGTATGTATGTATTACAAAAACAGAACCATATTACTTCGGGACGAAAACGAAATAGGTTTCACGGTGTTAAAAAGCTCACACAATAATGGTCCACCATACTGCCTATAAAAAGACTAAACTTTGACTTAAACCTTATTTCCTCCTATTCCAGTGTGTTAGAACCGATCCTGAAGAATTTGTCGAAGAGCTCTGAGAAAGAAGATGTGGAGTACTGTCTGTTCACCATGATCTGCGAGAGGATGCTGGCGCAGGACCCTGCTCTATTCGTTGGAGATGGTGAGTGTTATATTGGTGGATTAGTGATTATAATTTGAATAAACGAATCCTGCTACATTACCTCTAGAGCTGCTCAGTGTCGCGTCGCCGTCCCGCCGGCGCCGACCCGCTGTGTGCAGACCTTAACTCTTTGAGTACCGTCATTATAGACACAATTAACTCGTCGAGCACCGTCAATATAGACACAATTATAGAACAATAGGTTGCGGTCACCGGTGACCGCTTGGTGTTTGACAGTTTAAAGAACAATAGGTTGCAGTGACTACTGACCGGTGTCCTCGCGGTGTTTGACAGTTTAAAGCTTTGCAAGATCTTAGAGATCGCAGTATAAAAGGTTCAGGTGTATCAGAGAGCGTTGCTGCCCGGCCTCTGTCTAATGTGTAGTCCCTTAGTCGGGTATGTGACACCCGCGGGAAGAGTAGGGCTGGTGATAGATGTATTCTTGTCTATCTGTATCTCAGCAATTCAGTATACATATTTACGTAACTCGATATTTTTACTTATTTTATACTTTAATTCATATTGTATATACAGTTAAAACCGCTTACAACGACATAGTTTATAACGACGAATCGAGTACAACGACGTAATTTTGAGGTCCAGTCTATTGTCTTATAAAGCATAAAGGTATTGGTTAAAGTGACTATTGGTTATAATGATCATAATTAGGTTGCTTCGATGTCGTTATAAACGGTTTGGACTGTACTTTCATTCATTCATTCATATACATTCATTCATTTATTCATTACATTCATACTTTAATAATTTTATGATCCTTAAAATGAGCAAATATCTGTTTGTTTTACAGCAGGTCTGAGTATCCTGAAGTCAGCAGCTCTCCGGTGTCCGAACAGGCCACTGCTCACCAGGTACCTGGTGGAATGCATTCGAAAAGCCATCAAGGCCAACCCCAGCCTCGTTGCGAACAGGGAATATATATTCCATGAGGTAATTTACAAATAAAATCATAATTTCATCTTAATTATATAATTAATGCGATATTTGTGTGTTACTTAATCATTTCAAAACAGCTGAAGAAATCGGGTTGAAATTTAGAACAGTGGTTGATTATAATCTGGAATAAAACATAGGTGATTCCCACAGGAACGCGGGCCGAAGCTAGTCTATTAATATAAATTATTATATATATTCGTCATCTCATCACAGACAACATTAATAAGACGAAGAAACGAATTATTTCAACTTACTAAAACAATGAATTACTCAAAAATAATCCCCCTTTCTGTAATTCATTTGCCGAGATGCGTAACTTTCTTATTTTTCTACATTTCCCAAATCATTGCGGAGATGAACAATTCTGTATACAATATTGTAGTTCCAGTCCTTACTTATAGATGGCGTTGTCTTATAAAATTGCTATAATCTTGACAAAGGTCTTTAGTTTTTACCGACTTCATCAAAAAAAAAGATTAGGTTCGGCTGATTGTTTTTTAGGTCCGTTAGGTTCTGACACTTCCACTCGTCTCACTTCACTCAAGGCGGGAGAAGTCATTGCATAATATCTGATACTTGAACGAAGTACCTAAGGTATTGAAATATCAACTATTTGTTTTCAGGTGGATGCTTTAGGCGATAACTTGGTGATAGCTTGCGCCCGTGCGGGTGACAGTTGTGCTGACGTACTGAGCGAGCTGGTGAGACCGTACGACGGTCAGCCACCACTGTTCAGACTTAGGCACACCAACGCTGATGGTAAGATATCATACTTCTATACGTAATATTATAGAAATGAAGACTTTGTTTCGTTAAACTCATCAGACAGGCCATTGATAAGTCTCCTCTACAAAAGAAACTTTTTTATAGCTAAAGCCACACTGCAATATGGTAAATGCCATCTACTCAAACGAAGCGTCTACAAACGTTTTGCTTCAAAACTTGAAGCTTTTATGAATAGCAAAGAAGTGGTACTCTTTGTCACAGTCTGTGTTTCCTGAAGGGGACTTGGGTGTCTACCAAGGCCAGAGTGAATAAGGTGCTTATGTAGGCGTGCATTACAGGTTTACAGGCCGCATCATCGCTTACCACCAGGCGAAATAGTAGCCAAACGCCCGTTACAAATAATAATTCTTTTATAAACTACGTTTAAAAAAACCAACAACCTACTATTTTTTGAAACAAACGAACACATTTAAGTGTGGGAGAGCCATGCTTCGGCACTGCTGGGCCGGCTCGACCGGAGTGATACCACGGCCGAGCAGAAAACCGACGTGAAGCAACGCTTGCGTTGTGTTTCGTTGTGAGTGAGGTTATCGGAGGCCGCATTACTAAATCCCCAACGATCCTCAAACTCCTAATCCCCAAAAGGCGGCTATAAAACCTACCCACACCTTGCCGTGACAAGAGTAGCGATGTTAACTTATATTTCATATATTTATTGCAGGATATACAGCATTGCATGTGGCCTGCAGTCAGCACAGCGCGGCCAGTCCGCGCCTGCACACCGTACATGTCCTGCTCGTACACGCTGACTTCGATATTACTGAGGGGGTGAGTTCATCTATCACTGTCATCTAGTTTAACTTAAAAATTTACGTGTAAACGTGGTAATTTATTACCTATTTCCATATTATTATACTTATACAACTGGCTACACGACTTCAATAGATTGGTGTTTGACTGCACTGTTGGTGCGATATGGCTGGGCAACCGGCTGCCGTGCAACGTGTCGCGGGTACGATTCCCGCACGGAACAACACTTTGTGTGATCCACAAATTGTTGTTTCGAGTCTGGGTGTCATTGTGTATGTGAACTTGTATTATATAAACACACTCACGACACAGGAGAAAATCCTAATAATAGACGAATATAAACTTCTCTAATGACTTACATTCAGACTGATTTCGAGCAGATGGATTACTTGATGATAAGCAAGTTGTTGTTGGACCTTCGATAACTTCACTTACGTGGTAACAAAACGGTACGGTTTCCTGTGCGGTCGTGGTATCACTCCAACCGAACCGACCCAAGCATAATTTGATGAAATAAAGATATTCTAAAAAAACTTATATCATATTGTTTCAGGATCTAAAAGGTGGTGATACAGCCCTACATCTAGCTGTGAACTCAGTCCACTGTGATCTACAACTCATTCTGATGATTTTCAAAAACATTGATCGCAAGGAATGGAAGAATTTGGCTCACCATCGCAATCTCAGGTAATTAAGATTGTTTATAAGTTTATTGTGTGTATAATATGACTTCCTCGTTGGCTGAGTGGTCGTAAGTGGGACTGCCTGGCAAGGGGTCTCGGGTTCGATTGCCGGGTAGGGCAATAGGCTCAGCCCCTATTACATGGGACTCATAACATAAATAGTGAAAAGTGGGTATTAGAGGTACATTGTACAGTGCCGTAATGTGCACCTCTGCCTACCCCTTCGGGAATAAAAGGCGTGATGTTATGTTATAATTTTATTGTCTTCGTCAACCACTTGTGATAGTCCACTGTTGGACTACATAAAAGGGTTTGCCATAATACCCACGCTTGGAGATCGCAGTATAAAGGGTTCAGGTTTATCAGAGAGCGCTGCTGACCAGTCTCTGTCTAATGTGTAGTCCCTTAGTCGGGTATACGGTACCCGCGGGATGAGTAGGAGTGATGACACTGACATATAGATCAATACATAGTATAAAACAAAGTCGCTTTCGCTGTATGTCCGTATGTATGCTTAGATCTTTAAAACTACGCAACGGATTTTGATGCGGTTTTTTTTAATAGATAGAGTGATTCTTAAGGAAGGTTTGTATGTATAATACATGCATATTGCACCCGTGCGAAGCCGGGGCGGGTCGCTAGTTATACATAAAATATTTGATGTGTTTTAAATTAATTTGTTTTTTTTTTGTTCCACAGTGGTAAGACGCCCTTGGATCTCACGCGCACGGCCGCGAAAAACAAATCCCGAATTGAGTATCCACAAGAAGTCCTAGATTTCCTCAAAAAATGCCGTTAAAAAAGAAAAATACAAAAATAAACGCTAAGAACTAAAAATTTAGTGTTTAATGATAAACTACAAACACATACGACATATTTTTATACACTCTGTATATCAAAGTCAAATCTTTGAATTTGAAAGTAATTATGTTAATATGGTTCATAATTGTTTGCACTAACTTCTGCAATTACAAACGAAGTTAGACTTTATTTCAATGCGCAATAAGTCGATTTCTATTCGAGAAGTATATGGTTAGGGCTTGCAATTATGAGCTTTATTGTAAACCATGTTATACAATTACGGTACATTTTAAGACAAGTGTCAAGCCTTAGAAGGGCTATGCCCAAGAAGGCTAAATTCAATGGCCAATAAATGATTTTGGCTTCAAACAGGTTTGATCCAATCTTAACTATAAGAACTATTTGTTTGACACTATAAATATAAAAATGGAGATTATATTATACATGAAAACATGGAACTTATAATGGCTCTTATTATAAAAGGGACTTATATCGCACGAAAAGCGTTTTCGGTCACAATGTTAAACAATATTAAAAACTAATAACTTTCACGCTGTTTTCGTTAAGAAAACAGCTCCAATATGGAAGATATAGTTAAATAAATATGTTTGAGACCGGGATATTTCTTACCTACTCAAAATGTCAAAAAGCCCGCCAATTTTGTTATAAAAGTTCAGTGAACTATTGACATATGGAAGACAAAAGATAAATACTTTATGGCTTTCAAGATGGCGGATTGTTTAATTTGGGAATTTGCGAAATGTAAGGTAACATCTACTAATATTGGAAGTAAAATGTTGCTACATGTATCTTTGAAATATGTATGTTTAAGGTCATAATTAATGACGCTATAAGAAGAGAAAAGCTTGGAATAGACAATACAAACGTATTATTTAAAAAAAATCTATGATTTCTTGTGATTTACACAGAAAAGAATATATAATCTATAAATCTATGATTAATGGCTCTCAAATTGAGATGAAAATATACTTTTACCGAAAAATCATTTGTATATAAATAAAAATTAATATTTTTGATAAAAATATATGTATTTTTACAGAAATGGTTGTGCGAAACACGATTTAGGATTACGTCTAGTTTCTAAGTTTTGATTACGATATTATTTCGCGCCGTAACTTTTAAGAATTTATTATAATAAATAGGTATAGAACCGTTTTGGATATTTTATTTTATTGTCCAAATATCAAATTACACAAAATAACAATACATAAGTAAACTTGTATTTGAAAATAAAAAGAGATTCATTTTTAATTCAGTTGGCGCGAAAAATATTAAGTAGAATAGGTACCTAATTATCGAAAATATTGTAGACAATTTACTAAAAAACAGTTATTACTAAGCCCAATTTAATAATTTAAAGCATGTTTAGTACGAATTATTTTTAGTAAAATGTCTTACAATAGGATTTTAGCTATAAAAGAGCGTATTAAATATATTATAGGTCGACGACCATTCGTAAGATTACAGAATCAGTATTTCTACTGTCATTTACCATGAAAAATGGCGTCGGCATAGAAGTAAAAAGCAAAATGACTAAATTTTATCAGTCATAATTATTATATATTAAATATTGGTACCATTAATTATAATTTTGATGTTGTTACAATTATAATTTTAAGTTAAAATATGTTAAATAGCCGGTTTGACTCTTTGATGTTGGAAAGTTGATGTTTGGATTAAAAATCATATTAAATGCATATTATTTCGTCAATATTCTTGTAAAATGAGTACAATTGTAATTTTCCATTGCAAGTACAAACAATTGTTTTGATCTAAATTGTTGGACTACCTAGGTATGTAGGTGCTGTTTTATTTTTGCCTAATTTCATAGGTCGGTGAAGCTTAGTTTTCGAAAATGTTTTTGTTTATTATTTGATCGAAGAGTTAATCTAGGTGTTAGTTCGTAAGTCTGTAAGTAAACGTTATAATGGCGAGTTATGTTAATAACGCAGTGCGTCTTCTTAACAATTCATGAAAATTAATTCTTATATTTAAATGTGATATCAACCGATTGATCAATATCTCGAAATGGTAGATTTCTTCATGTAATTAAAAATGTAATGGTGTAATAGACAAAAATAGATTAATAAAAAATATATAACTTAACGGATTCAATATTGAGAACAACGCCATCTGCACTTTGTTTCACGGAACTAATTAGAAGAAATTAAAAATAACATCTGTTTTACTTGAAAGTGTAACCATAAAAAAAATCATCATTTTATATTTCTTACGTCTATAGAGGTATATGGTGAATGAAAGTATTGTCAACATCACTATGAACATTTTTTTATGTCAATTTTATATAAAGACGCACTGTAAAGATTTTTTAATTATTAACTCGGCCAACACAGCATAATAATAAAAATAAAGTTTTAGTGTTCAAACTAAAACTAAATATATACGAATAACATAATAGATTATAGATTTATTGAATTTTTACATAATTTTAAGCGATTAGTTGTAAGATCAAGAAATTGTTCACAAATTCAAACACATAATATGTATTTATGATCCACATTGTTTTGTAGATTTTCTTACGTATAAATTAAACGGTGTGAATAAGAACGAAATTAAACACTTTAAATGACAATAAAATAATATATTTTTGCATTGTTGTGAAATATTAAATGCATAACGTTTTCCGATTTACTCACTGTAACTGTTTGACGAAGTGATTCGACTAGTTCCAAATAACGATGGGTCACAATAGGGTAGTTGACTAATTTTTATTTTAATGTCCGTCTGGTAGATTATTTTAAATCATTAGACACGTATTTTTTATTTTTCTACAGAAACTAATACTTTTGACGATATATTGATTAGAAATGTCGCGTGACGTCACTTCTATGTACATTTTATACGTAGAAATGACGTTTTAACCCCACTCCTAAACTTTGATTCGTTATATCTAAGTATTGTTTTAATATACAACAAAACAAAAATACGTGTCTAATATTTTTTCATTACCTAACCGACGGACTAATTAGATTTTAATTTTCATACCCTCTCATCATCCCTATTCAACGAGGCAATAGTTGGTACTTGACGCCCTTCTCCATTGTCGCAAACGCTGGTTCAATAAGGCCTACCGTATTTTTGCTTAGCAGATGGCGACGGCGTGAACCTCTCGTACTTCGTCCAATAGAGAATTAGCAAGTGGTACACCTTTGAACGTTTCATTTTTGACAACTGCTGTGATTGGTCAAAATACCTATTCCTACATTTGTGCCGTCAAATGAGCAAAAATATGGTAGACCCCAACGACTGGCGACTAGTCGATTAGCTACGTTACTTAGAACTGGGGCTTACTCTTGAATCCAATTCCGATCGATCGACATTGACATTGTGAAATTTCGTACTCTCGAGTTGCAACACTAGCGCCCATTGCATCCGTATTGAGTGGATATTGAATGAACTAAATGGTATCGAGTTTGGTTTTATATTCCGTACTCTGAATGCTATTTTAACAGCTACCATAGGGGTTGTATAGTTTTGACATTGAATAATTATTAAGATTTAAGATTGAATTTGCATTGACATTGAGATTGGTTTCAAGAGTAAGCACCCTGTTGTAATTATTTGTTAGATTCGTCTGCGTTTCAAAAAGTAAACATTAAACTAGTGGTAATTGTTTCTATTTCGTTCTTATTTACACCGTTAATATAAAATGCAATGTCTATTTTAACTTTAGAGATTACTTTATACAAAACATATAAAAATATACCTAGGACCGCCTGTAAAGAATTTTTTGATAAATTTTAAATAAAAAAGCGTTTGATGAATTATTGTACCTTTTAAAAATGTGATTTTTAGGTTATGTCCTAATGATGTTGTTTATTTGTCTAAAATGTATGTTTTTTATTGTTTTATTATTGAAATGTAATGATTTAATACGTACCTTTTATCTATTGTTTAATTAAAAAAGAAAAATCTGCAATTTATATCGTATTTGATCTCTATTTCGCAAGATGAATACATTAGTATATTCTAACGGAAAATCCTGAGTTTTATTTTCTCTTCAATATAAAATATCAGTTAAAAGACGTTCATTGCTGAACTAAAACTTCCCTCAACGACTTCCAGATAAAATGTTTCCCGAAGGGGTACCTACTGTAAAAATTATAGGGGTTTTCAACAAAACTTCCACTGTATATGTTCTCACTCTGTATTTTATCAATTATTCCTCTCAACGTCCATTCACCTTTCTTTCGATTCGACTCCCAAAATTGCCGCCATAAAATATAAATCTCCGCTTTCCCGCGTCTCCCCAAAAACCAAAAACCGCCTCTTTTTTTCTTGTCCGTGTTGCCAGGTTAAAAGTGTTACCCGATTCAATTCTTCAGTTTTTTTTTTAATTAAAAATATATCATTTTTAGGATTAAATAAAATAACCTTACACTAACTAACTAACGTGTCCAGAAGTCCCAGCTTGAACGGAACGTCCCTTCTTATAATTACGTGTTATTGTCCCCGAAATGAACTCTGAGACGCAAAATTGTCACGTCTTTCGCAAACCGCGTGAAAATAGTTGTTGAGTCGACGTGACGACCTTTCGAAGGGTTCGAGTGGCGTGCGAGAGCGTGATAGCGTAACACTTGATTTACTGTTTGTATTTATTTGTTCTGCTTGTGCGGTATGTGGATATATATATTATATCGCTCTCGACCGCCTTGTTGTCCGAGTGGTCATAGCGCGACTGTAAAGGGTTTTGGGTTCGATTCTCGAATCGGGCAACGTATTATTGGGTGTTTAAAAATCCTCAGTAGTAGCACGGAATCTGGAATTGTGCCCGGTATATGGCAATAGGCTCACCCCCTATTACATGGGACTTGAAAGTAAAGTCAAAAAAAAAAACGTTAAGTAGGTAGGTACACATTATTGTGCAGTTAGTAATATTAACCTTGTTATTGTTAGGTAGCTACTAGATGCCTGACTGAATCTAAATACCTGAAGGAATGTCCCGTTTTCAGTCAAAAAATAAATGGTCACGTTAGATATAACCATATATATAATAAAGAAGGATATAACCTAAATTAATATTTGCTTATGATGGCGCGGCCCATCGTAGGCCGCATCATCCTTTACCACAAGGCGAGACAGTGGCCGATCAAACTCAAACTCAAAAGCATTTATTTCAATTAAACCATAATTTGGTACTTTTGAAACGTAAACAGACTATATATAATAGTCTGTCAGTCTGTCCGTCAGTGAAGCTAGGCGCTCGTCCCAAAATGTAGTTCCGAGTTATTTCCTACCTTCTTTATCAGACTTCTTTACTATATCTTATGAAGTCCTTCATATATGAAGTACTTTGGAATCAATATTTTGAATGCAATTCAAGAATATTGTTTTCTACCTGACTCGTTGGCCGAGTGGTCGCAAGTGCCACTGCCGGGCAAGGGGCCTCGGGTTCAATTTCCGGGCCGATATTACTGGGTTTTTAGAAACAGTCTTAGTAGTAGCACGAAGTCTGGAATTGTGCACGGTATATGGCAATTGGTCTCCAGAACAGCCTAACTGCCATCCCGATTGACAGTGCACTATAACTTTTAGACCAAATAGCTAGGCCAAAACGTTATCAACTAAGTAGTCCGTGATCTCGCAGTGATTCTTGTCAATGTGCAACAGAGTCATCGTAAAATCGACGCGTCAAAGCTACAAGTAAAAGTAAAAAGCGACGTGCCTAGAGATTTCGAATAGGCTGTCGACTGAAGGTATATGAATTTTTAGCCACTGTATCAAGTCCTGAATATTCCAAATTGAGGTTCGTTTCTTTCTTCTTGTGGGCTTTGAGCATTGTTATAACCAGCGGGTGGGACAATAACTGTTGTCCGACTAAAGGGTCGGGTTCGAGTAAAGGCTAAAGTCACCACCGCCAACTTATGGATTAGTATTGTCGAGTAAGCTAAACCTCTCCCTGGCGTTAAATATCCAAGATAAGAGGCGATATTTTGAGGGTTGGGAGTGTTCGGTGCTACTTTATTTATATTGCACCATGCTGCCCACTGCTTCCAGGTAGATGCGCAAGTTCGCCATCGTATTGAGTACACAGATATATTATATAAAATTGGGACTGGGGCATCGAGTGCCTTCCATTTCAGAAGGAATTTTTTCAGTTGTCCACCCTGGAAATAGTCAGAATTTGCACCTTA